TAGAGATAGGTGCTGCGGTGTGTGGGTGAGTGGAGTTCGAGAAAGAGGCCAAGGACGGGCATTACTTATTTAACTCATGGCAGGCACAGTGCACTCTGTTAGTGGTTTTGTTTTTCTGACTCATACTGAGGGTCCTTACAGCCCTCTCTGGTTGGTTTCCATCTCTGTGGCTCCCTTATGGTCGGTGCTTGGTCACTTTTCTGAGCCCCCTCCCAACTGCAGAAAGATCTAACTCCAGATCCCAACCCTCCCTCAGATGCCTCCTTGTGGTTCATTGTCAGCCTCCTGCTGCTTGGATCCTTCTCCTTGGCAGCCCACATGCTTGTGTGAATCTCTTCTTCAGTTCACTTGACCTCCAGAAGGTGGACGCCTCTCTGCCATGCAGAGGAACAGGCTGCTCCACTGACAGTCTCCCTCTGCCCCGCTCTCTCAATGCGGCTCTATTTTCCTACTTAAGTGGGAACGGAACAAATCAACAGGGGCTACATTCTAATCAGGTGCTCAATGGGAATGAGAAATCAGCATTCCCTTCTTGAAAGTGTTCCCAATCTTTATGAATTATCTTTTGGGAAGACCCTCTGTTTAACTCTCTGATGTGCTCTAGCCCAGCATTTCCACCCAGCAATCATAGATGGCCCCTTTCTCCAGTCTACTTTTACAGAATGCGAGGTAGTGGTTGGTGGTGTTGCTGAATTATGGTTGCAGGTAGCAGTAAGGTTCAGTTATCTCTTTTTAAAAACCACTTTATTGAGGTATGACTGACATGTAAAAAGCTGTACAGATTTAATTTTTACTACTTGATGAGTTTGAGGATACATATACAGCTGTGAAATCACCACCACCACCAAGGTCAAAGACTGACATATTCATCACCTCTCAAAGTTTCTTTCAGTTCTTTTTACTCCAATAATTATTATTTTTTTGGTGGTAGAACACTTAAAGTAAGCCTACACTCTTAGCAAATTAAAAAAATATAATATTGTATTTTTAGCTATAGGTTCTATGCTTTACTTTAGATATCCAGAACTTATTTATCCTAAATAACAAAACTTCGTCCCTTTGACCGACATCTCTCCATTCCTGCCTGCCCCTGCACCAGCCCCTGGCAGCATCATCCTACTCTCTGCTTCTATGAGTTTGGCTATTTTAAATTTCATGTTTAAGTGAGATCATGCATTGTTTGTCTTCCTGTGCCTGACTGATATCACTTAGCATAATCTTCTACAGTTCCATACATGTTGTCACAGATGGCAGGATTTCCTTCTTTATTAAGACTGAGAAATATTCCAGTGCATGTATATACCACAATTTCTTTATCCATTCATCCCTCAGTGGACATAGAGTTTCCATATCTAGACTATTATGAATAATGCTGCACTGAGTATGGGAGTACAGGTATCTTTTCAAGATACTGATTTCAATTTCTTTAGATATGTAAGTAGAAGTAGGATTACTGGGTTATATACCTCATGAAAGACTCAAGGAAGGTGTTTGGCTTTATTTAGAATGTGTAGCACTTAATGCCTCTTTGTTCACAGTTTTATTTGTTAATTCTGGAATAACAGAAAAATTCCCACGTTCTTTTTATATATTTACAACACACACACACACAGACAGATACACACACACACATCACACCCATACCCTATGGGTGAGAGAGAGAGAAAGTGTAGCAGGGGCTTTGCTGAAATATTAACAGTGGCTGTCGTTGGGTTGTAAGATTAGAAACTGTTTTTCCCTTCTTCTCTGTGCTTTACTGCTTGCTTCACCTTTTCTCCAATAAAAGTGCACCCAGTGTATCTCTCTTAAAATAAGAAGATGAAGTACAATAAACATGATTTTAAAACTGCAGCACCATTCCACTGATAGAACAGATGTGAGAGGCAGGGACTTGGGTTTTCTGACCTCCCAGGGCTCTCTGCAGGCTCATGATTTTATGAAACATCAGCTGTTCTGAATTCCTGCAGCACCTGCCACAACAAAAGGAGGCCTTTTGCTGAGCATACTAATGCAGTTGCACACGCCTTCATAGAACAAAGAAATCAAAATGAGGAGTTCATTAAGCATCATTTGGACACTGTCCATTCTACCCTGACCTGAGCCCTCCAGAGGAGGTAGAAATCCACCTGCAAGGGAAGATGTCCTATGTCGAGTGAGTCCCCACTACCTCCCTTTTGTCCTCTCTGGTGATCTCCTCCCTCCTCTTTCTGGTCTTTTGCCTCCCATTTGGCTCACACCTCAACTACTGCCTCATCTGCAGACCCCTCTGGCATCGGCTCCTCTAGCTATGCCTCTGAATTCTCTCATGGACCCGACTTTGCCCCCATGCTTTACAGCTGTGCCTGAAAGACAGGTTGGCTTCCCAGGAGGCAAAAGCTACAGTGAACAGGCTGCCCCTCAATCCTATTCCTTCTTCCTGTCTGCTTTCTCATACACTTGGCTGTTTTTTTTTTTTTTTTGTAGTCTTCAGAATTAGCAACCCTTCCCTTGGCTTTGCTGAGAGATGCCATGCTGATGTCCATTTCTTCATAGTATAGAATCTTTTCAAGGTTTAGGTGACTTCTGCCCATCCTCTTCATGGGAGGGATGCTGAAGACAAAGAGTATGTTCCTCTTCCTGCCCCCTCACTCACTGTGTCTCAAGGAGGGAGGGATTGACAGTCTCATTGATCCAGGCTTAACACTTTCTGGGACATGTTTATTAGTGAGTGAGTTCACTGCACTTTATTTTTTAATTTTATTTTAATTATTATTATTTTTTTGAGATGATGTTTCACTCTTGTTGCCCAGGCTGGAGTGCAATGGCATGATCTTGGCTTACCGCAACCTTGCCTTGCCTCTTGGGGTTCAAGCAATTCTCCTGCCTCAGCCTCCCGCGTAGCTGGGATTACAGGCATGTGCCACCAAGCCTGGCTAATTTTTGTAATTTTAGTAGAGACAGGGTTTCTCCGTGTTGGTCAGGCTGGTCTCGAACTCCCGACCTCAGGTGATCCACCCACCTTGGCACCCCAAAGTCCTGGGATTACAGGCATGAGCCACCATGCCCAGCCTTCACTGCACTTTAAAGGCAGGATTCTAATCTCTACTTTTTCTTGTACTTGAACATAATCGGTGCTCTTTCATCTTTTTTGCTGACTTAGTAAACATTTCGTACTGAGGATTCCATTTGGTACTGAGGATTCCATCCATCCCCAGTGTAAGTCAGTGCCCACTGAACTCCCTCTTGAGTGGGGTGAAGCAGGTCTGTCATGCTCACCCGTACAGTTTTCTGGCTCAGTGCACCTAGTTGTGCTGTTGACTGGTTATATATCTTTCTTCTCCAGCATGCCTGAGCTTGCTCCTCTCAGGGCTTTAAACCTAAGCCATGCTCTTGAATCCAGATTTGATTAGGGATCTACAGTGGAACTGTCACAAGCCCAAAAACCTATAAACTAAGCAGTAGATTTCCATTTGACCATTGTTCGTTGGGTGTAAATGTCAAGTGGAGGTGAGGAGGGAGGCTGGACATTACCCTGTTGATACTGGGGATTGAACAGACAATCTGTGGGAAATTCGGTGCCCTTCCACAGCTTGGCTTTGGAATGAGCTTCCATTTATTCCACTGGCTTACATTCTCCCATTGGGCCACATTAAGGTGCTGCTGTAGGAATAAGCTTTTGCAATAGTGTGGATGTAATTCTCATGCTTCTCTTTTGTCCAGAACCAGCTTCCTTCCTGACCTGGGATTATGCAAAGAGAGATAATATGCAAATGAGATCATAGATTGCATTTATTTTTGGGCTAGTTGGATTTAACATAGTGCGTGTTATACCAATAAGCACCACTAAGTCTTTGTATAATCCCTCTTCCTCCTGATGGAATCTATAATCTATGATCTCATTAGTACTAACTCTAACAAGCCTAGGATATTCTGGTGAAAGCTGGTAGAAATTACACAAGGCTGAAAACTTAATGACCTGCCCTTATTGAGTGAACCTCTTCAACCTCTTGTCTCTAGGGCAAAATAATTCGAAAAGTTGTGGGAACTTCAATCCTTTTTTTCCAGTGTCTCATAGGAGGGAGCCAGGCAGAATATCATGATCTCTTTGCTTTAAGGAAGTGGTAATTCTTTACCAATGTGAGCATAATGGTTTAGTGAAGTAGAACTCCCAGTTTAAGGAAGGCAGAGCATAGCATAGTGATTAAGAACATGGACTTTGCATTCAGACAAATTAGGGTTGAAACCTGGCTTGATTAATAACTAGCTGTGAAACCTTGGACAAGTTACTTAATCTCTTTCAGTATTGTGAATATTCTTTTCTAGTGGTAAAATGAGGGATAATTATAACTAACTCATAGAGTCATCATAAGAATTAAATGAGGTAGTGTAAGCAAAGTTCTTCAGCACAGGCCCTGACACATGGTAAACTGCCAATATATGGTAGCTAAAATACTGTCTCATCATTGTACTATAAACACATTTTGTCTCCTAATGTGATGGGTTAAACTGGAATAGGAAGAACAAGGGCAAGGAAGGACAATGGATCACAGTCAGGTGTCAACCCCACGTAGGGCCTGGGCGAAGACCTAGGATCAAAGAGGGAAGGACGTTCAGGACACAACGAACTATTCCCAGAGAGATATCTGCATCCTCCCTAAACTCACCAAAGAGCATTGTTCAGGGGCTGGGTGGGGATACACTTGGATACTGGAAAAGGCAATAGATTTCATTTGAGAAATGGGTTTCCATCACTGCCTTTTCTCTAATTTGCTGGGTTCCTGTGACAGGTTGCAAAGGTGGTTTCAATTCTTAATCTCTTTAGCCTTGTCTCTGCTATGTGACTTTGCAGATCTTCATGCTAAAGATGGACTCTTTTACCCATGTCTTGAATCTGGGCTGGCTCTGTGACTTGTTTCATCAAGTGTATCAGAAGTAATGGTTTCCCAGTTCCAAGTCTAGACTTCAAGAGGCCCATGTGTTTCCATCATACTTACTCTCTGTCTCTCTGTCGTGGCCATAAGGACATGCTGGGCTGTAGCTTGCTGAAGGATGAGAAACACATGGAGCAGAGCTGAGTCATCCCACTGGACCCAGCAGAAGCCTGAACTGATCAGTGGACTGCAAGCCATTTCTGAGCTATTTGGGTGATGAGCACAGATGAGCAGAGTCAACCAGTCTAATGGCCTAAATGCATGAACAATAAAGGCTTATTGTTGAATGAGGTTTTGTGTGGTTCATCTTATGTAGCATTGTCACTAAGACAGATAACTGAACAGTTGCAATATAACTTCATCTTGTTTATCATTTTGAATTCACTCATTCACTCAACAGGCATCAAGTATCTACCATGTATCAATGCCGGGCTAAGCATCGTTGGAGAGACATTGTTTGGTGATAGCAAACAGTAATAACAAAGGAGACAAACAACTGTCTCATTTATCCACCAATATATCCTTCTGACCTAACAGAGTAAGTTGGCACTTAGTAGATGTTCAATAAACATTTGCTGTCTTGTGAAGACATAATGATGCAATAAACATATGTTGTATGTAAGTGTAGTATGTGTACGTCTGTGTTCCAGATAACTAACTAAATATGTCATTAAAATATCAGGTCCATTTTCCTTGCTCTCCTCTGGAACGGCAGAAATAATTTCCTATTCTTTTCTCCACTGTCTTTTTTTTTTTTCTTTTTCTTTCCCCTCCTACAATGTCAGCAGCAGAAACTGCAGCATGCTGTTAAACTTACCTCTGTAATAGAATGTAGATGTATAAATCAAAACAGCTTCTAGCGGGTTGTCTGCAGTAATAAATGCTACGGAGGCTGCCCAACTGGCAGTGTAAGAGAGATTATACAAACTGCTGCCTGGAGAAAACACAGCATCATGAATAAACTCAGCCTTGAATTATTTATATATTTTAGGCAGTTTTTTCTCTCCTCAATCTGCAAGGCCTGGGAATGATTTTCACTGGGAGCTGAGAGTGTCTGAATTTGGCTGTAAAAGAAAAACAGTTGCAGCATGTCTTAGACCAAGTTTCAGGGTGAAGATGGCATCATGTTACATGAGGAGTCAACAAGGCTGGCAGTGCAGTGCAGTGAGAAGATACTGCTTAGAGCTCAGGAGAGGACAGTTTGAATCCTAGGAAGTTGTGTCTCTAGGGGCTTGTGGGCTTTGTGGACCACCTTGGACCCACACAGTCAGATGGGGAGCCCCAGTGCCCACCTCCAACACTTCTACCAGAGGAAGCTGCATCATTCTCTTTTATGAAGTAGATTTCAATCTGAGACTTTGTTGTGGAGAAAAATGGTTTTATTATAAAAGGAAAAGTTTGGAAATCAATGGTGTGACTAATCTTTGAGACTTTATACAAGTGAGCCTCACCTCCTCCTGCCCACTGAGACCCTGGGGACCCTTTAAAAATGATTAATGCCAGGGTCCTAATCTTTATCAATTAAATCAGAATTTCTGGAGATGGGAGTAGACATCAGAATTTTAAAATATATCCAGGTGACTCTGATGTGCAGCCAGGGTTGAGAACCACTACTTCACACCCTTCATTCATCTAACAGGACAAGTATTGAGCACTGCCATCAGCCAGGCATTCAGCAGAGGATGGAAGATAAAGTGAAGAGCGGGACAGGCCCAATCCTTGCCTTCATGGATTTCTCCATTTAAGTAAACACACAGCTGCAATTTAGAGGGATATATCCTGGTATGGAAATATACAATACTATGACAGTAATAGCAGGAATGATAATAGCAATTGTGATAATGTTTATTGCTGGGAGAATGTTGCTTTAGTCTTTTTAAAGACTCAGACATTGTGCTAAATGATTTGTATGAAGTATCTTATTGGATTCTCATTCCAAGTCTGTAGATAGGTACAGTTACTATCTTTGTTTTACAAATAAAGTACATGAGGCCCAGAGAGGGTAACTTGCCCAAGTTTATACAGTGCATAAAGGTGGAGTCTGGGGGAAGGGGTACCCTGCCCAGGCTTGGAAAATCAGGATGATGTCTCCATGCTTCTCGACAATTTGAGTACACTTTGGAGCTGCGGAAATTGGGGAACTGAATGGATGTCAGAGTATATGTTGTAGAAGAGAAGCTAATGTTTTTCAAAGCATTGCATCAGCATAAAGCAGGGCCTTGCATGCATACATGTGCACACACACACTCTCACAAAGTGTTACTGGCAGAAAAGATTATGAGATAACACTTTTGTTTTATAAGTGAGCAAACAGACGCAGAGAGAGCTGATGGCACAGGCACAGGCTTTGCCATGCCGGGGATGAGATCCAATTCTCCCGATTTCTTCTTTGAGGGCTCTTTAACTCACCCCGCTGTGACTCAGCTTTCACGGGGTGCTCTTCTGGCTTACAATCCCAAGATTCGAGGGAAATTCCACCCAATTTCACCAAATACATTTTCACCTGACATTGCATAACGAGGTCACCTGAGCTTGCAGTGATTCACTCTGCAAGTACCTTGATTCACCCAACCCACACCTCAAATTTTTGATGCCCCATTTCTTCCCATAAGCAGGCATCGTGCCTTCAGTAGGTGGTGGGAAACTTGTCATGAGAATGCTTATAATCCTTTCCACATGTTTGAAATTGGTACTTTTCTAAGTTCCTTAGCAACCATTGTCTCATACAATCATTCCAAGAGTCCTGTCAGTAGGTAGGAAAGTTGCCATTATCAACCCATTTGGGAGGTGAACTGACTTGGATTCAGAAATGACCTGCCTCAGGCTCCTCCTGGGAACTTGAGGTTATTGTTGTGGTAACAGGATGATGGTCACTACTGGGGAACAACAGCCACATCCTCACTTGCCCTCATATAATGTCTTCACGGTCCCATCTGCATTTGCTCCAGCTGTGTTTCCACCAACAGCCTCAGCGCTGGTTCCTCCTTGCTGAGTCATTTAGGCTGACTCATCTTCTGGACTCCAGAGGTTCCCTAACTGCATGCCTCAGTTAGGGAAAAGTATGTTTGTGTGTGTGTGTGTGCATGTGCATGTGTGAGGTGGTCCTTATTAAATTCTTATCAGAACACTTCAGAATATTTGAGCTGGCCACGACCTGATCACTTACTGATATCTGAGTGTCTCTCTTCCAAGATAGAAATGTAGGTCCTTGCTCCTTTCCAAATCTGATTTGCAAGAGCTGCTGCTCCTACAGATCCAGTCATTTTCCCCTTTTTTCTCTCTTTTCATTTATTGATTCCTCCTTCTTCTAACCATCACCAACAGTTTAGCCAAGATAACATAAACATTTCTCTAGAGTCTGGCCCAGTCAATTCTCTTAGAGGCTCGTATTGTCCTTAAAATCTAAATGATGCAATGAAAGAGAACTTTGTTTCTGAGCAGTTCCTTGAAGACTACTGCTTGAAGACTTCATCCAAGTTGAACCCAAACTGCTCCCTTGAGACCCTTTCCCTCTTGAGCAAAAACCGAAGCTCCTGTTGCCAGAGTCAGGATGGGTACAGCAGCCATTCTACTCAGCAGATCTCATGCTTAGTAGGATGAAGGCCAAGAGCTAATCAGAGGGAATTTGGGGACTTGGGCCAAATGGGGGCTTTCGAGTAGCCCTGTTGGGAAGAAAACATACATAGCAGGCTCCGTAGAGAGTCAGCAAATAGTTTGTCAGAGACCCAAGGTCAATGCTGGGACCGAAGAGATTGCAAGAAGTGAGGCTGATTGGCAGCAATTGTCCCAGAACTAGGCAGTTTTGAAAAATACTCTGTGTTCATTTTATTTTGTCCCGTTAAACTGAAAGCATTTTTAAGCTTGTGGTTTTGAGCAGCACCTCTAGCTTGATGAAAACCTAGTCATTGTATGAATGGTGTTGTTTGGAGGATTTAACCCTCAATGAATATTATCTGATGGGAAAGTCAGGGAAAGCTTCTCTCTGTGTCTTCAAAGACTTTGGTAGAAAGAGAAAGGAGCAGACAACCTTTGAGTTTTCAGATCCTGGGAGGACCCTTTCTGTCTCCGACCCTCCCATCCCAGAATTTTTAAGGACAAAAAGGGGCTGTTCCTCTATCATGAGGCTCCTAGTCTAGGGGGACAGGGCCCTCAGACGGCAAGCCCCAGAGAACAGTACCCTTTTTGGTTGGGAGGAGAGGTGTTGAAACTCTCTAACACTTACACATAATGATTTTCCCTTCTCCTGGGAAGCATGTGAGATTAATGGATGATGTTTTAGAATAAATATTTTTACAGAAACATTTAGGGAGAAAGCTGCTGCTTAGTGTTCTACATGAGGGAATTGAGGTGTCCTCATAATTTCTGCCTCTCTTTTCTCTCATCTGTTGCTTGGAACAGAAACCCTGTGGGACTGCTGAGCTTCAGCTAAACTCACCAGCAATTTCTCCATAGTGTGCCCTTAAATTCTGAAACCCAGAACTGTTGGCATGACTGAAAAGTCTCATCTTCAGACGGAGAACTGGGAGTAGTATAAATAATAACTGGGTGCTTTTTCAGCTCTTTTGAAAGAGAATAAGGCGTGTTAAACCCTCTCTGTGTGTGCCCTGAAATTTCATTTTGCTGTGCCGAGAAAGGAATAAAATGCTGTATTTGTTTTTGAGAGTTTCCTTAATGAATTATCATAAACTGAGTGATTAAAAAAATAGAAATGTACTCTGTTACAGTTATTAAGGCCAGAAGTCCCATATCAAAGTATCAGCAGGACCATGCTCCCTGCAGAAACTCTAAAGGCGGCTCCCTCCATGCCTCCCTTCTGGTTTCTGGTGCTTGTCAGCTATCCTTGGCATCTCCTGGCTCCTGCATGTGCTACTTCAGTCTCTGCCTTCATCACCATGTGGAGTTCTCTCCGTGTGCCTCTGTTCCTTTGTGTCTAAATGTTCGCCTTCTTGTAAGAACACCTGCTATTGTTCTTATAAGATTAGGGGTAGCCCCTAATCCAGTATGACCTCCTCTTAACTTTATTATGTCTACAAAGACCCTATTTCCAAATAAGGTCATATTCACAGGTACCGGGTGTTAATGGTCGAACATAACTCTTTAGAGGACATAATTCCAAGCAAACAAGTACACTCTATGTTAGATAGGGGAAGCAGCCCGTGGTTTGGCAGGTCCTAGACAACTATGTCAATTGTGGACTCATTCAACATTGTTCCAAAATGTATTTACCAAGTCCCAAATATTTCCTACACACAGGCTGAGCACAGGGACAGGGAATGCAGTCAGTTATTCT